GTGGACACCGTCAAAGTCCTGCCCTTCAACAGCCGGGGCGGTGCCGTCTACCAGGACATCAAGATGATGCGGAAGAAGGAGCCGGTGGACTTGGACGCCAGCCAGACCAACGCCATCCCACTGGGGGAGGTGAGAGGCCAGGAGCCCATTGGAGAACTCATCATTCCTGCCGGCGCCTTCCTCCGCTCCTCCGGGGAAGTCTTCAAGGGCACTGTCAAAGCCAGTGTCACCTTCCTGGACCCGAGGGACATTGCGACAGTCGGTGCTGCCTCCAGTGACCTCAGTTTTGTCAACGCCGAGGGGGAAATTGTCCCCCTGCGGACCTACGGCATGTTTGCGGTGGACTTTCGGGAAGGGGAGTCCAACGAGGCGCTGCAGACGGGCCCGGTGGAAGTGCGGATGGACGCAGGGCAGATCAGGATGCCAGAGCACCTGCAGAAGATGAAGCTGTGGTCCTTGAACCCTGAGACTGGCTTATGGGAGGAGGAAGGCGTCTTCCGCCAGGTCAAGGAGAGGAGGGGAAAGAGGGAGGACAGGACCTTCCTCATTGGGAACATGGAGATCCGGGAGCGGCGTCTCTTCAACCTAGACGTGCCGGAGAACCGCCGCTGCTTTGTCAAGGTCAGGGCTTACAGCAATGAGAAGTTCAACTCCTATGAGCAGCTGGAAGGGGTGGTCATCAACCTCATCAACCTGGAGCCCCAGCCCGGCTACCCTACCAATCCCCGGGCTTGGGGACGCTTCGACAGCGTCGTCACAGGGCCCAACGGCGCCTGCCTGCCGGCCTTCTGCGACGGCGAGCGCCCCGACGCCTACTCGGCATACCTCACCGCCACGCTGGGCGGGGAGGAGCTGGAGGCCGTGGCCTCAAGCCCCATCCTCAACCCCAACACCGTGGGGGTGTCCCAGCCCTACTTGAACAAGCTGGGCTACCGCCGGCTGGACCATGATGACCCCACCTTCAAGAAGACAACCTTCCAGATCAACGTGGCCAAGCCTGACCCCAACAACATCGACGAGACCAATGGGCCCATCTACCCCTACCGCAGCCTCAAGGAGTGTGAGCAGGCACCAGTCAGTGCCAACCACTTCCGCTTCTATCGCGCGGAGGTGGACAAGTACGAGTACAACGTGGTGCCTTTCAAGGAGAGCGACTTGACGTCCTGGACGGGTGACTACCTGTCGTGGTGGCCCAACCCGCAGGAGTTCAGGGCATGCTTCATCAAGGTGCAGATCGAGGGGCCGCAGGAGTACATGGTGCGGTCCCGCAACGTGGGGGGCATACGGCTTGCGTGACACCCGTAGCGTGCAGGACATGCTGCTGGAGAACAGCTCGGGTGCCTGCGTGGAGTTCAAGTGCAGCGGGATGCTCTTCGACCAGAGCATCGTGGACCGCACCTTGGTCTCCGTCA